AACACTAAATACAAACAAGTTATAGCCAGGAAAAATTGGAGATGGTCCCAGAGAGAAAGGCACTAAGATTCAGGGGCACTAAGAAAGGCTTTCTTGTAGAAGGTGGAATTTGAGGCTTGAAGGAAGCCAGGAGGTAGAGATGAGCAAAGAGAGGATTCCAGGAATGGGGAACTAGTCAGTGAAAATGAATGATGTTGGAAGATGGAGTTTCTTATGGGAGAAACAGCAAGGCCACCAATATCACCGCATAATAGGAAATGGTGGGTAGTGGTAAGGGAGTGCAGTGTAGCAAGGCTAGAGAGTAAAGAGAGAACATTTCACTTGTTGAGCCACGATCTTGGAAGCCAGATTGCAAAAGATTAAGGAAAGGAAGTGTAGACAATGAATGTGGATAACTTTCATGGAGTTTGGTTGAAAAAAGGAGGAGAGACATAGGATGAAAGCCTGAGAGGATAAAAAAGTCCATGTAGTGAAAGTTTTTTAAAATATGGGGATGGGAGAGATATGGAATTATACAGGTGTCCTTGGTTTTTAATAAAAAGAATGTGAAGGGGCAGCTAGGTGACCTGAATTCAAATCCAGCCTCACTTAGTAGCTGTGTGACCCTGGGCAAGTCACTTAACCCCCATTGAGAAGGAGGAGGAAGAGGAAGAGAAGGAGGAAGAAGAGGAGGAGGAGAAGAAACTGGTAAACAACCCCATATATTCAACCAGCTTCCCTATCATATGAAGCTGACAAGACAGAGTAAACCTGTGAAGTACCTACCCCTCTCACCTGTCAACAACTATGGCAATCTTAGTAGATCCAGAATGAATGAATGAAAAATATGTACTATGTCCTAAGCACTGTGCTGGGCTGTGGAGATACAAATAGAAAAAACAAGGAACTCACTGCCTTTTTGGGGAAGGCAGTACACACAAACACACACACACACACACAACACACACACACACACAAAGTCAACTGAAGGGCAGATGAAAAGGTCTAGGGTAGATTGCCAGGACCAGAGGTCTTTGGATTACATAAGTAGGTCAGGAATCTGGAGGATATAGAGGCAAGGCTAATCATAAAGCCTGGAAGACCTTAGGGAGGGTGCAACAAGTCAGATAGTAGGGCCATCTCACAATAACTCGAATTATTACTCCCATCCAACGAGTGTGAGCAGTCAAGCAGCCCAGATGGATTCTAGATGGGGGTGGGGGTGGGGGTGGGGGGAGGTAAGAGGGAAGAGTGCCCCTAATGGTGTCAGGTCTTTCTGCCCCGGAGTACCTTAAACCTGGGTCTAGTCAACTTCCCCTCAAATTGCTAGTGTGAGTTGGGGGTAAGAGTTTCAGAAGGAGTTCTACAAACATTTTAAGCGATCTCTCAAAGATTAGATAAGTCTGATTTGCTAGAAATATTTTGCCTAATCCAGAAATGACTGTCCTCTTTAGACTTCTCTAAAGCCCCAACTTACTACCTAGTTATGTTCTAAAGTTTCAAATATAGTTGGTTATTTAGAATTTAGAGTACATTTTAGAATGTATTCTAGAAATAATGTTTAGACATGATGGCTGTGGGCTCCTAGGCCTCGTCCCAAAGGCTTATTTAGTCTATAATGCACCTAAAGTATATTAATCTCTCTGGATCTTAGGCTGTTTATCTGCAAAATGAGGGGGTTAGCCTAGATATCTCTAAATCTGTGCCATCTCTGTAACATTTTTATCACAAAATGAGTTGAAGTCTTATTTTTGAGACTATTGTTTCCCTTCTCCATGAACTTCTACCATCTTTGCATCACTGCAATGGAATTGAAGACTCCCCCTCTCTTTCCCTGCCCTCTCCACCCATCCAATAGGAAGAAAAAGGACTCCAGCTCTAAGCTGCTGGTAGTGGCTCTGTGGCTTGGGGCAGGGTGGGGTCTACAGGGTTGCAACTGGAAATGCTACATGAAGAATCCCTATTCAGAAATCCCCACAGGAGGACTCCTTAGTGAGGGCTGGAGTGGGAGCTGAGGGGGTTAGAACCCAGCTCTAGGTTCTAATGGTTTGGAGCTTTAGGAGCAGGCCCTAACAGCCCTCAATGACTTTTCTCCATCCTGGGTTTTCCACCTGAGTCACCCTCTCTCCTTTCCACTGTGCACTTTGAAAGAATGAGTAAAGCCTTTATTGAGTGCCTGCTTTGTGAAGACAGCACTGTGCTAATCTACTAGGGCAGACAAAGAAAAAAGTGGGACAGTCTATGCTCTCAAGGAGGTATCTTCTTATGGAGAAGATAACACTTATGGAAGGTTTCAGCTGCTAGTCAGATGGAAAAGTCTCATGGTCCTTAGGGCGTAGCAGCAAAGTTGAGGGTAATCTCTCTTCTTTAATGTCATTTTCACTGATAAAACATATCAGTTTCTGATGTTGAACCTTCTAACAGTGCCAAAACTTCTTCTTAAGCTTACTTTTTTCTTTTTTATTTGATCTAAGAGGAGTTATATGGCAATGCTACTGGGGCTCTTTGGGTAAAAATTCATCATATTTCAGAGGAAAAGCAAATTTAAAGTGAACTGGGCATTTCAGCAGAGGAGATGGGGTCTTGGTACATGCTTGGTGATGAAAAGGAGAATGGCTCTATGGGAACATCTACAGATGCTATTAGAGGAGATCAGTGTTGAAACTGAGGGTGAAGGAGGCTAACAGGAAAGGAGGGGAAGGAGGATCAGCCTTCTCATTAGTCCTGTCCTCTCCTGCAGAAGCTTCTAGAGGGAAATTAAGAAAGGTCTTATGTAAGGAGGGGGTATCAGGGTGGAAGACAGGAAGAGTGTGTGTGTGTGTGTGTGTGTGTGTGTGTGTGTGTGTGTGTGTGTGTGTGTATGACAGAGAGAGACACAGAGAGAGAACAGTCCCAGGCATAGCAGGCTGAGGGAAAAACGAAGGATAAAAGGAACAGAAATCCCAAGCAGTAGCAATAATGAAAGAATTCTTGTACTCAGCAGACCATCAGGCTAGGACAACTGTTCTTGCATGGCCATTCTTACCTAAGTCAGAAAATTATAAAGAGGTGACTGCTGGTAGACTAATGAAGGAGATTCCAAATGCGATAATAGCAAAGCAAATAGCTAAAGCTATCATGTTTCTCAGTGTACTTAGATCAAGAGAAGCAGGATGGGTAAGGCATAGAGTGCTGAGTCAGAAGAAAGATCTGGTTTTGAATCACTGTTCAGGCACTAAATAGCTGCATGACCCTGCTTGGTCACATCACCTAACCTTTCTCTGAGGCCCATTTCCTTAACTGTAAAATGTAACAACAGCTGCACCTCCCTCACAGGGTTCTTGTGAGAATCTGAGACAAGGAAGCAGAGCTGGAGAGCTAGAAGGAACTGCACGGGCCATTTACTCTAACTCCTTCATTTTACCGATGAGACAACTGAGCCCCAGGGAATTGCAACTCGCCCACCATCACACAGGCACTAAGTATTAGATGTGGAATTTGAGCCCAGGTCCTCTGACTCCAGGCACCAGTCTTTCTTTGCAGACCTATAGCGTCTCCTGGGGTAGAGTTCTGAACATTTGCATAGGAAATTGTAAACAAAAATGCTGAATCAGAGAAGAGTTGAACGGTGTCGGACTAGATAACCTCTGACGTCCCTTCCAACTGACATCCCATAATACTATTTACTACACTTTTATAAAGGAATACTTTCTTTAGTTAGTTCTAGCACTGACTTTTGTAATTTTCAAAGAAACCCTCCTCCTCTGGTTCTGATGTTTGGTGAATTTGGTCAATAAGACCATACTTACTATATCACATTTTCATGATTATGTACCCTTGATCATAGCCCAGCTCTCATCACCTTTTGCCTTTTTTTTTTTTTTAAAGTTAAGTGAGGGGAGCTAGGTGGTGCAGTGGATAGAGCACTAGCCCTGAAGTCAGGAGGACCTGAGTTCAAATCTGGCCTCAGACCAAACACTTGGCACTTACTAGCTGTGTGACTCTGGGCAAGTCACTTAACCCCAATTGCCTGAAAAAGCAATGAAAAAAAATTGGGGGCAGCTAAGTGGCTCAGTGGATAGAGCACCAGCCCTGAAGTCAGGAGGACCTGAGTTCAAATCCAGCCTCAGACCAAACACTTGACACTTACTAGCTGTGTGACCCTGGGAAAGTCACTTAACCCCAATTGCCTTAAAAAAAAAGTTAAGTGATTTTGTTTGTTTTGAATCCATCCTTATCCAGCAGCTCTCCATTTCCTTGGATCACCATTTTTTTTTCCCATCACAGTTTTACAGAGGGAGAGAATAAGGTTTCATGTTTTTTTTTCTCCCCCTAATATTTCTTTACAATGCTCAGAAGTGTTTAACTTGGGGGTCAATGATAATACATTGGGCTGATGTCTTCAAAGAGTACTCTATATAGTGATATCTAGATTCCTTTCTTAAGAGGCAACTTATCATAACAGATAGCACTTGACTTGGAATCAGTAAAGCCCGAGTTGGAATCCTAACTCAGGACCTTACTTAGTAGTGTGACCCTGGGCTCTCTTGGACCCAGTTTCCTCATCTGTAACATGGTGATAATAACAGTTCCTACTGCTCAGGCATGTTATGAGAATCAAATGGGGCAATATATGTAATACACTTTTCAAACCTTAAAGTACTAACTAGTCGGCCATTATTGGGTTCTTGTAACTGAGAGTTCAGAGTTCACGTTCTTTTAAAGTAGGGTTTAAGAGACTTCTCCTTAAATGCATTTTCTTACTTTTGTTCACGCTGAAGCTCATTCATTTTATTTTTGTCTACTGCAGGTTTGTTGGATTTTTATCCTTATTTGCTTGGCATTTCACTTCCTGGAGGGGATTCATGCATTAGGCAGAGGATTGGATAAGATGGTCTTCTGGGCATTCCAGATTTCTAAAATTCTGCGGGCTAGAATTCTTAGAGTCTAATGTACTATTAGATTATGGCAACTTTTATTATTATAAAACATTAGGCAAAATATATATGCTACATACATGGAGACTTTAAATTGGGAATGACTTTATTTTCAGATGAAAAAAAGAAAAACGTGACTAATAGTAAATATTTTGCATATTGGAGATTCTTAGATACGACAGAATAGTTTTAACAAGTAATTTCTGACAACAATCTCAGATACAATGACATGGTGTGACACTTAACTGCATAAATTTCTTGTAAATCCCCCCCGCCAAAGCAACACCCCATGTTTAAAATATACCATACAGATGCACATATATACCATTGGACCTTCATTTTTTTCTTTGCCAACTGTAATGCTATAGATAGAAATTAGCCATGACCTACCTAGATGAGAATAGCTCTCTTCCTAGAAGGGAAAGTCTAACTAGCAAATTAAGAACAATTTAGTCACTTCCAAATTTAGAAAAATATTATTTTGGAGTTTTTTCATGAATATTTGGAAACAAATTTGTTATTTCTGTCTTTTTTTCAACTTAAAATGTAATAATGGATACTAACAATACCTGATAAAATGGAAAAATTCAGTGGTAAGTAATAGATAAGACCCCAATCTTCTGTCTTATAGTTAGAGTATAAATCAATTTAGTTTCAAACAGAACAATTTCACATGTTTCATTGTTAGTATTGGCAGAAAGCAATAATGTTTTCTAAAGGAAAAAAAAATTAAACATGGTAACTGAGCACTGGTGTTCTACTTCAAAAAAGTTAATTGAGATGGCTTCTGGTTAATTTATGGAACTAGGGATTTTTAAAGGCAGCTGGTAACGTAATAATAATGTAGTGACTTTAATTTCTGTCAACGTTCCAGCACTGAGTTAAAATTCTATTTCATGTGAAAGAGTGCTGGCAAGCATGGTCTTTTCAAAAATGATTCTGTTGTTATAAAATCTTTATTAATGAAAACAGCGAGTAGACAAGACAATGAAAAATGAAAAATATTTTAATAAATTTTTTTGAACTGAGATAACTAGCCAGCAAAATTAATGAAAGAACTAAATAATCAAAACAAGTAGAGGATTATTTTTGTCAGGCAAAACTATAACATGGCTATTGCTAATGAAAACACTGACAAGTTCATATTAAGTGCAGTGCTAGAAAGAGTATATATTTGGATAGAATAGAGTCCCGCATACTATATCAAATTGGACTTAAAATTAGATTTCTTTGATGATATTTAGTTTTAATTCTTGACTCATTTATGAACTATGTAGAAGGGTAATAAAAATTTTAAATATACCTATAGTTAATTCTCTTTGGGGTCCAGATTTTAAGCCACAACTTAAAGATACGACATAAATATTTTTGCTAATGATAATATGTGACCAGATTACATGAGTGGTTTTCATTCCCAGCAGTGATTTGCAATATGCTTATATATTTGCTCACGGAATGCACAATAATTATTGTGTAACAGCCAAATGAAAAAGTCTTTTTTTTCAGTGAATAAGAATAAGGGTTATTCTTTGTGTAACACCACAGGACAAAAGTAAGAGACTTTCTTACTCTGGGTAGGTACTCATAAAGCATTTTTTTTTTAAGTAGGAAGGGGGAGGCAAGTAACTTTTAGCCCACTAAGCAAATTTGTACTCTATTATGAAAAACTAAACTGCCATTTAATACCTCCTTAGGATAACCAATTGAAGATATTTCTCAAATACATCGACACTGTTTACACACCAGGACATCAATTTCTCTACATAATACAATTTTACAAAAGGAACAAAGCACTGAGAGAATCAGTGCTATACAGGCAGTATAAAAGTAGGCATGTGAATAAAACTCTAAATACAGCATGTATCAATAGACAGACTCAAACTAAAGTCATTCGATATGTACTATTTTACAGAATGGACTGTTTCACACACCCATATATTTGTTATATCTTTTAATGAAAACATGAATTAAAATGCGACAAAAAACATTTCAACAACCTTGCTGATAACAGCACAAACACTTGTATTTACTAATGAGATCAGTTATTGGTTTAGACTCACCAGAAAACAAGTTGGAAATAATTTAAGACCAAAACTTTAATCAGCAGTATATTTCCTTAGGATAAGAGATATATAATTTTGCTCATGGAGCATTTAAACTTTATGCTATTAGACCCACTGTTACAAAAATAGGTAAGAAAGCTCTGTAAGAAAGTACACATATCAAGGAGATGTCTCTCCTCAAAAAAGCAAATTAAGGGAAATTCGAATAAAAGAATTCACTAATTTAAGTTTTTGTGAAAATTGCATTAAAAATACTTTTGAGAAATGAAACAGTATTAAGCATTAACGCACCTCATTATTTACAGAAAAGGAGAGTGGCCCCAGTGACCATCACAGGCCTATTCAATCATAAAATGACCAAGGACCACTCCTGGTCCTCCCCTGATAAATTTAATTAAAAGGTAACATTTAGAAATTTTCTTATTTCAAAATTCTAGTAAAAACATAGCCAAAGTTCAGCTGTCCCCTCTTATGACAGCCATGAAAATCCTTGCAAACACAGTGCTACAGTAGCATACCCATCTTGTATGAGGTGGGAGGAACTGGCAGGGAGAGGAGAATGGGAAGATATATTAAAAAAAAAGGCAAAAATATTTGTAGTATAATTTTGTAAGCTAAGCAGCTGTTGGAATTTGTTTAGGAGTAAACTTGAAACTATTTATAAAAACAAAATGGCCATTCAATTGGGCTTCATTCCATTCCAACACACATACATTATCCAATTATACACAAAGCTACCCAGATCTTCTCCTCATAAGTTATAGCAGACGGTCACACACGGTATGTTTCAAATGCTATCAGTACTTATTCAAAAAGACTACGAGTAAATTGTATTATAAAGCACTGACTTTAGTACTCTACTTTTTGGAGTTACATGGTTAAATAGAAGTGTAGAATTATTTCAAAATTTTTATTCACCAAATACTTCAGATAAAATATAAATGTGCAAACTGGGAAAAACACAAACCAGTAAAGAAAGAAGATTTACATCAAATTCTTGATCCAGTTCCTGGCTTCTACCCCATTTATAACTGAAATCACACTTAGTATTGCAGGCGCCATTCTCTATCAGTCTTCTAATCTGCTGATCCTATTACACTTTGGGGGTCTTGTCTCCTGTTGGTGCTTGTGTATTACTTTCACCACTTGTAATGGGTGTCATGCATAGGTATCACAGGAAGACTGACCCCTTAGGGTATAAAAGGTCTGGTTGTTAATGAAAATTACAGCATGAGGAAGAAGGTTACCTACTCAGAAAATGACAAATGAAATGCTGTTAAGAAGCTCCCAGCAATCCTTTCAAACAGATGTGAAAGACAAAGAAAAACAATAAGTCTTAGAGATCATAAGGGAAAGCCAGTTTCCTCATTAAACAATGTATTCATATTTAATATCAAGTGCTAAGTACCATGATAATAAGCATTTTAGCAATAACTAAATATATAAACCAATCTCAGAAAATTATTATTTTTTTCAAGGCATAATGTGGCATTTTATTTCATCTATTGGGTATTCATTTTAAACACAATATGTGTCAGGTGAGAGATCACATGTTAAAGGAATAAATTGAATGGTGTTTAGGGTTTTTCTTTTTCAAAGTAATCTTGAATATTCAGGAGACAAACTCAAATAACAAGCAGAACAAGCTAGGTTTACTGATAACCAGAATAGTAAAGAAGCAGGTGGGAGGAAGGGTCCCTAAGTAAGAAGACAACTCAAGATATAGATTGTCAGACTGACAATGGAGAAATGTCAAAATCCTGCATAACAGTGCCATGGCAGTGATTTTCTTCCAATAATCAATTATTTAGGAATAGCCTTATTTTTTGTGTACTAAAATCAAAATGCAGTACTTCAGCACTAAAATTATGGTAAACTTTTGGTGGATTTACAATTAAGTCCCCTCCCAAATCACCTGATTTTTGTTTTATACGTACATTTCAAGACAAACGGATTTATTTTTTAAGGCTTCTAAGTGAAAAGAACTCTGGTGCTTCTCTCCGTCCTGCCACACTCCCACCTCTAACCCCAAGGGGGCAGGCTGTCTAGAAACGCTTGGTTTTACTGGCTTTTAAAATGTCTTAAGGTCAAATGGCAGACCTTCTAAGTCCTCTTATTGACTAAACAATATGATTGGGAAAAAGTTAGGATGCCCCTGTCATTCAGAGTGTGATTCAGAGTGACTGTGATAAACTTACCTCTGTCTTAAAAATTCCAAAGGCACTGAGGAGGTCGTGGGGGGACATAGGATGGGATAGTAATATTTATGGAAAAACAAAAACCCTGCCCATTTTTTTTTGTACTGGTAAAACGCTAAAAGATGGGAGAAGCTTTCTAATTTATTTTGGCCACCAGATTCCCAGTTTCAGTCTAACACTCTCAGCAGTATTATGGTTCTATTTGTTTGCTATTCCCCTCAAGCTAAGACCAGATCATTGATAAAGCAGTACACACACACATAAAATCAAATTCTCAACTCTCTGTGACTGATAACTATTAGTTCATATCTCCTAATAATCTTATTTTTCATGGGTTCAGTGAGTAGAAGGGCTAGAATCTTTCAGAAAAAAAAAATTCCTCCAATGAGCACCTGTCCACATGCATGCAAAACATGCAACTTCTTCATGAGAGAAGGAACCATGACTAGATTTGAAAAGAAGGGAAAACAGAAGCTGAGGCAGTGTCTGATCTATATCATTTTTCTTTAGAAGAGGAGGAGGAGGAAGAGGAGGAGTTCCTGAATTAACACATCATTTAAAATGAAAAACCCTAACAGAGAACAAAGCCATGAAGGAGGCAGAACTCAGATGTGAGCTGCTGGGAATGATATTGCTAGTGAAGAATCCAGAAGTGTCATATCCCATGGGGAATGCGATGACAATGAAGCTGGTGACAATAATCACGACGAACACCAGAATGTGCTGCACGGGACAAGGATGTAAAAGTGGCAAGCTACCCATGGCTGCTGCCGAATATTTGCTTGTTCTGTGTAGTGATGGTGAGGCTGAGAATTACAGCCACTGTTAACGTGGACCCAAATGCCTGACCCTCGCTGGCCACTACATTGTCCATCATGTGACTGAAGTCCTTTTTGGTTGCACTGGTTAGGCCAAAGAGCCTCTACTATTACTCTAAGTAGCCCTAAGCTGCTCAAGGAACCTCAGATCTTATTTTTCCACAGTGGAGCTTTAGAGATGGAAGGATGGGGCTTTTGAAATTAATCAATAAATATGTAGTGAGCCCCTACTCTGTGCCTAGAACTTTTGAAACAATGATGTATTAGATAAATACCTTGCCCTCAAAGAATTATAGATTTTTGAGTTGGGAAGGACTTCAAAGGTGATATAGTCATTTTACAATTGAGTTGGGACTACATGGCATATGTACTCAGGGAAACGAAAACTTCTGAAAGCCTTCTATTTTGGTGAGAAATCCTTATTTAAATTTGTACAGCCGACTAGAGTCTCAGACTCCTGGCCTTGGCTTCCCTCAATTTCTTCTTCCAAGTCACTATTAAGAGAATTAACAGCAAAGTCCATCTTGAAATAATGGAGCCATAGCTATACCAAAAGCTTCTAAACATTGAAGGCCCAGGGTCTTCACCCTTGAAGAAAAGGAAACAGTGCTTTGAAAAATTCAAGGTGTTGTGAGATACTTGTTTTGTGTGTATATCTAAATTTATGTGACAAAAAAGCAGTGTATATATATTTAAAAAAACCCTTTAATCTCATTTAATAAATTTGATTTGAACCCAAGGATGGGTAAAGGATATTAAACCCCGAATCAAATGTTTCTAGTGAGAAATCACATAAATGGGTATCAATGAAAATGCTTAAAGGGGAAAATGAAAATGAGCATATTCTAACTCTTGGGGAACAGAGATGAGACTATGCCCTAAACCACACAATTAGTTCAGTATTCTCACAACTATTCTATAAGTATATGTAGAAAGAGGAGGAATTTCTTAGGATAGGATTCTCAGACCCAGAGCCTTTGCTTGATAACCATAGCAATACGAATCCTCAGATGGCACAGAAGATAAGAGGCAGGAGGTCCTTCTACTGTTTAATTTTTTAAAAGACTATTACAAGGCTCCTACTTAAAAGGTCATCCTTGTTACCCTGCAAGATAAAAAAGGAATGATGTAGTTTGCTATGAAAATAGCTTTTAGAATGATTCTCCTGCTGTTTCTACAACATGAAAAATGTGACCTTGTCATGTGACTTGCCTTTGAGATAGACATCTTCTGAGATCCTTTCTTTGCCTCATATTCATCATCTTAAAGGCAGCACAGTGAAGAAATATTTGAATAATAATCTAAAGGTAACTTTCAAGATTCATAAAACCACCATAAGAGGATTTATTTATTAGTCTGGGGAATATCTTGACAAAGGTTTATGTTGAATTAGGGCAGTTCTCCAAAGCATATAGGTACCCCAAATTAAATGCCCCTCATTTTTTTCATTATACACATCTCTCTCCTTTTTTAAGAAAGAAAAAAAACCCCTAATACTACTAAACCTAGTTTGAATACCTCATTATTTAATATCACACATAAAACTCTTTCATTAAAATGCTAGCCTCAGGTCATTGAAGCAATGTTATTCCTAGTCAGTATTTTTTTCTTTGTAAGGAAGTTCAATTCTATCCTTCACACTTGGGCAATGAATTTTTTTTTGGAGGGTGAGGTGGGAGAGGGAAGGATAGCAATGCATATTCCATGGACTCAAAGAGGAAAAGGTCTATTTCTTCCTCCTTCCATGTCTCAGGTTTCACCTCGGCATAAGTAAAGTGTTCCATTAGCCTGCTGCTCTTGGAGGCTTGCTTGCAGTACAGGATTCTGCTGCCAGGCAGTTGGTCTTTTCTTGTTCACATGTTTTGCACAAAAAAGTTCTATAGAAGAGAGATAGCCATTCCTATCATAGTTCCTTCAGGGCATGGCCAATAGAGATTTTTTCTTGTATACCAAAGGTTATTTTCTGCCCCACCTTCCCTGCTTAAATCCCCAATGTTGGTTTATAAAGATTGGCTCGCCATTGTATGGGAAGGAAATCTGATCTTGTAAAGTTAATAAAAATCTTAGACACTTAAAAAGTGTCATGGAGAAATTCCATTTAAATACTACACAACACATTTTCAATCCAAAATAGTAAGAGTAAATTAAAGATAAACCCTAACACTCTCATTTCCCAGACCTCTAACTCTTTCATCCCTTAAATTTTTCCTGTTCATACAGAGTGTTGGTATCCTAATGAGTTATGTTACAACCTGCGACACAGGGACCATTTGTATCTTAGCAAAGAAACTTGACAACTGTCATCGTTACCATCTTCATTAACATCATCATCCTTTTCATGGTTCTATGTTTCTGTCTAACATCTCCTTTTTTTTGGTGGAAGGAAGTTCAACGTCACATGACATGAATGTCACATGTTTTATGCCCACATTTGGTACCTACGATTTTAGTGCCTTTCTTTTGATTGTCATAAATTGCTAGGTTTTAAAAACCCATTTCTTACAATGCTTAACAACACACTTAGTCTTGTGCTCAGAAATATTTCCTGGTGATGAGGACAATGATGATATCTCCAGTGTAGGTGATCTAGTTTAAGGATAGTGGTGGATGACACAGAAAAATGAGAAGAAAGGAATAAAAAAATCACAATTTTTAGGAACAAAATAGAGTTTTAACTTGGAAACTACCTGAACATAGACTGCTTAGTCTATGTAGTCATGTGTCAATTGAAAGCAAAATCATTTTTGACCCTTCTATTCATATACTCATGGAATGTGGTTGTAGGAAATTCTTCTGGATATAACAGCATCTGAAATTCAGATCCACTAATTATCTGACTATATAAGTTCATAGGTTCTCAGGGTCATGCATAAGATTCAAATGTTAATTTCCTTTTCTCAAGTCTTCTGTCTTCCCTTTGACTGACATTTCCAACTCTACTTCTGCTTCCTATATTGGCGATGGATCACCTAGCAATCATTTTATTTCCAATTTACTGTAAACACTCTGAATATTTACAAATAAGGGCCACAAGAATTTTATTTAAATTCTAGAAGCTAGGTTCCAGAATAAACCTTAGCCAAAGATGCATTTCTAGCCTATTTAATTGGCTATCTATCTGGTCAATGCCCTGGGTGGGCTGGCATTTTGGCCATTATTTTAATACTATGAAACATTAGTTATTCTGTTACTATGGTAGAATCTGAATGCCTAATGTGTGCACTGTAATACAACATGCAAATAAAATTTCATGGAAAATATGATAGCACTAAAGAATTAAGGTTAAGCAAGAAGACTTTTGAGAGGCAAGAAGAATCAATATTGCACCAACATTCTTCACTGATTTTGAAGTATATACCTTCTGTTTCTTGGGCAGTAAGAAACCACTGTTTTGGAACTCATTTGGTTGATAAATAAAGGCTATAATTACAGGAGCAGGCACTCACATGTCACTTAATTGCCAGATATGGCCTTTCTCATTTTATTATAAAACTTAGGGGTTTTTAACAGAACAATAAGAAATTGGGTTTTCTTTCTCAAATTTCTAAACCCGTATCTACTGCCCACCAGCGGGCCCCTATTTGCTGTAATTACTAGGACATAAAAATTTGCCTTAAAGCTTTCATGAAAATTAAAGCACAAAAAACCCAGCAATACTATCTGATATATTAAATCTGGTATAGTAAAAGGGGTCTCTTGAGCCCCATTTAAGCCTTTTTTCTAAGAGAAAAAAAAATCTTTTAGAAGTAATTACTCCAAGAACTAATGCTATTTTTGTCAATCCACAGGATAAGATATGTATTTTGCTGTGGTGTGTGTGTGTGTGTGTGTGTGTGTGTGTATTTGGAGAAGCAAAGAAGTAGGTAATAGAATGAAGTAATCATTAATTAGGATTTAAACTAAAAGGTTATTCTGAGTTAAGTAAACAGAGAAGAAACAGAATTCACTAACTTGAACATTTCCAGAATTATGACACCCTCACTCTTATAGAATCTAGAGTTATAGCTTATGTTATCTTTCTGAGCACAGGGACCTTATTTAACATTTTCAACTTCCTATTTATTTTTTAGATCTGTAGATTTCTGTTTAGAAGTTGTCTGGGATATCCTGAAACATATACATCTCTCTGGGTTTTGTCTGCAAAAGGCAAATTTAACCAACAGCTGGCTAGTGGATTACTCACTCAAAGGTAAAATAACAAGGAAATCTTGTGTTTGAGTAAGGCTTACTATAGTTACAAATAAGGCTGATACCTCTTTTTATTGGGGACATTCTAGTTAACATTAACATAATCTTTTCAAAACTAGAACAAATACTTACAATGTCAAAATCCTAGATGTGATTTCTAAGTAAAGATTCTTAATTCCTTTCAAAACCTTCTTGCACACTGTTGCTGAGCTTGCTTAAATCACATTATCATATCTCATGATTCACATAAGATTGTAGACTAGACTAACTCATTTATAAAAATCCTGGAAAAAGCTGACTGTTCTAATGAAAGAATGAATTTTCCCATTAATGAAATCCCATAATATGCATTCATAAACTTCAGTTTAACCTAATAATAATTTTTCTTATAACTCATATGGATGAATGTATTGAACTGTCATTTCTAAACTGTTAACTTAATTGAACTGAAAGGTAATCAAGGGGCTTACTGAATTTTGGGATTACTTGTACAATCCTTCTATAAACTCAAATTCAAATGATATTTTCTATGAGGATGTTTTGCTATTATATATTTGTACATTAGAGTACACTGTGAATTTCTTGAAAACCATACACTACTTTTCAGTAATTGGTAAACAAATAATTATTCGTTCTATTTGGCCCAGAAAGGAGAAAGGGCAAAGGAAAAGAATTGCGTACATATATAAAACTGACAATATTTATGAGCAAAGTTATAGACAGCAAATAGGAGAAGCAAAATAGGACAATAATTAATGCTACTTCCAACCAAAGTTGCTAGATTTTTAAAAAATCAACCCAAATGAAACTCATTTGTCATTTAAAAAATTAGCACATAATATACAACTTTACATAGTCCAGAGAAAAAAAGATCTTATGACATTGTTCTGAGGAATCCTTATATTTATAAAAATTGAAGGCCTAATTTTGCAAATACAGCTTTCTCAAGTTGTATGAGCAAATTTAACGACATGAAAGGCACAGGATGATATTACGTCGAAGAACGTATTTGTAAAGTTCATAAAAATTAGTCACTAGAAGCATCAGAAGGAGTCTCAGAACTGTCTTTAACATGAGGTTCTGACTGCATCTGAGACAGGGATAGTCTTTGTATCACAGGTTTAGTATCTGAGGGTAAGCTGAACACTTAGAGAGCAGCTTCTTTCTTAATATGAACACTTATTTTGCTAAAAACAATGTTTGTTGCTAAATGCTAGTACCAGACAGTTAAAACTTCTTCACACTGGATTGTGGTTTTTTAGCAGCTAACTTACTATATACTTCATTGTTTTAAAAATATATTCTTCACAATACTGGCATTTAAAATAAATTAATATCAATTATTGAAAGAATTTTAAAAGTCAAGTCCTGCTCTATGAGCTTCCTATGTTGGAATACATGAATATAGGAAGTGCTTTCAACAGAAAGTTACATAATTCTACAGTACAACCTGTCTAACAAGGCTTGCAAGGGACCAGTACAGTGACTTGGTCTCTTTGGGTTAAGCAGAAGCATAGGCAAGGGGAAAAATGACTTGCGTCCAAGTGGAGCTTGTCCCCGTGACATGCTGAAGAAATGTATTCTTTTTGTCAAAGTATACCTGCTTCCACTTAGATTTAATGCTATTGAGATGTTTAACAGAGAAATGAAGCATAATAACCTATGCAAAGAGAAAAAATATGAAATAAAAATGATTTTTTAATGAGATTAAATTTTTACCATTAGAATTGATTTAGGTTCCTTTCAAATTGACCACAAGTTTCTTGTCACTAACACTGGGTGTTGGCTGGTCAAAAAATATTATATAGAGAACCTCTAGGACAGTGCCAATATTCTTACAGTACTGAAACCAAAATTCTCCAATTTTTATTCATTGAAAATTCTGGTTTTTAATGAAATAGCTAGCTCTTTAGTAGCTAAAATGAAATTATTGTAAAAACCAACATCATATGATTAAACCTCTGGAGAGTTGCTAGTCTGACCATGATCATGTAAGTTTCTCATATTCCAAGATAATTTCCACGAGAGATATGGAAAATCAATGAAGAGATGACGTACTAGCTGTTCTGTTCCACAGCACTTAGTGCATGTTTTAAGGTGGAATGTTGAATCTGATACTTCTGTGAACTGCTCTCCTGGTAGTGGCTAAGTAAAAATAATGCATTTGGAGCCAGAAACAAGGCTGTATTGAGTCATAATTGCCTTTTGCTCTGTCCATTATGACTCTAATAATGAGTGCCATCTACATACTTGTTGTCCTTTGGATTCCTTCATTTCAGTCCAGTGATTGAGTTCCTCTTCTCCTGAGCTGTTGAGACCTAGAGAAATCCAGCCTATCATCTCTTTCCGTTTCATGCTGCGTTTGTTATAAACGGACAGTATAAGGGTCACATCTGAAAGCTGAAACAGGGCCACTTGAAAAACAAAGGTTTCCTTGTATATGGGATTTGGTTGTCCTCTGCGGATAGATGTCTTGCATTTGGACATCTCTTGACCCATGGAATTCAGAAGAGTCAACTTAACATATGTATCTACAGGGGGAAAAAAACCACAAACAACATTTTGGAACATAAACTCAAAAAAGAAATTTTAAAATTTGCTAAGATGATTATGTATTAGCATTCTCTAAGGATATGGCGTATACCATGTTAACTGAACAAAGTTCAATCGATTCTACTTTAATACAACTGTTGTATAGTGTGAATATAAAATAAAGAGGAAACTAAGTAGGTGAAATAGTTTTGGTGGAATGACATAACCTCAGTGTTTCTACATAGTAACAGTGGTAACCCTAAGTTAAAAACTTTACTTAAAGGTATACCTCATAATCCTTTCTCTTCCCTCACATTCCCACCACCACCCCTGCAATCTCTACCACCCCCATGTAGCTGTAGGATTTCATAGCATTATTAAACATTTAGCAAGCTCCAATTAGCCACAACACTATAAAGCATTCCACTGTGCTTTTAGAGAATAAGAATAAATAAACAAGTGGGAATGAAGGCAACTGATGAAAAGGAGGAGAGGAACACATAAGTGCAAAGGAGACATCAAAACAGCTTAAGATGAAATGCCAAAAAAATCTCTGCATGGATGTGGTTTTTTTTTTAATATTTTTTAGAAAACATTTAAAGACAAAAATGAAGCCAAATGCATTAGGTGCTCAAAGTTTAGAAAACCAAGTAAAATGTCCTCTTCCCTATTTTCATGCAAGAGTACATTTAATGTGCTTTTTGGGGAAAATAAAATAAATGCTGTAGGATTTTTTTCACAACTGAATGTGAAATTTTGAGATGTCAGCTAATATTTTTATGAAATATAAAAAATTGATGCAATGTATAGTGTATAAAATGAATTTTACTTATGCATTGCTTTCTACTACTTGGGTGATAAACCTTCTCTTCAAAACTTTGTATTTTCTAGTTTTTTTGACCCATGCAAATGGTATATAGCATATTGCTCCATCATATATCTATATATCTATCTACATATTTCATGATAGAATTTCAATTAACATGGAAGAAAATTGACATGCTTCTTAACAAAAATGTTAAAACTTTATTTCTGCTGTATGAATCAAAATAAAGTTACTGGAACACTAAAATTATTTACAAACTTTGGAAAAAGAAGCTCTTCATATATTTGTAACTTTGTAGGTGCTCTGAATACCATCATCCATAATCAGAGATAAGTCTACAGTTAGTTGTACTTAAGAGTACCACAGATAATAAATGTGCATTTTCTGGAAACCAACATGGTGGACAGCTTCACTGCTGGCAAGTTTTAGGGTTTGCTTTTTTTTTTTGCATGAAAAGACAACATCCAATTAGCCTCTACAGGAACTCACCTCGGATTATATAAACCTGTCCACCTATCAAGTGTTTTAGACAACAGAACAGTCCATCTGACAACAGGGGGTGGAAAGCAGTAAAAGAAATAATGACCAGATGTCAATCGTTGGGTGAGAGAGGGTCAAAGGTTAAAGTTAAAGAGGAAACACTTTACTGGAGTGGAAGAACACAAAGTTTTAGCAGTTTAGTTTAGATAGAGGATTGAACGAAAGGGCTGTTGGGTAAATTTCATGGAATGAAAAAATTTTAAAGGTCATTGTGTAATCTTTAGCAAAAAATTACACTGTTCTAAAAAGGGATATCTTTGTAACAGTACCTACTTGGTCTAAAGCACATTGAACATAGAAAAAGTCATGCAAATGATCAGGCTATAAAAGACTGAAGAAGGGTAATATAGAGTACTTTTTTGTTATTTTACTGAACCTTAAGCTTATTCATGCAATATCTAGCATAAAAATACTGACATTATTCCCAGTATAAAATATAATTAAATTATTTGAAATGAAAATGATTCAAAGTTAAATATCAATTCTAATATTATAACTTTTGCTCTTAAATGCTAATATTGTTATTTTGGATATAATTTGGTCATTCCAAGCATAATTTAATCTAAAACTTAGACCTAATTATTTATGGAGTGCCTATACATTTTTGGAAGTTGTAGGGAATATGCTATGAAAAAACAACTCTTTTAGTTAATTTATAACCCATATTTATATCGTTTTTAAAAATGACAAATCATATTATTTAGCTTACCAGTCTGTCAGCCGTCATTATCAATCAATTTTAACACTATTGGTCTAATTCTAAAATAATGGTAATGTAACAAACTTCTTAACCTGAAAGCTCTACCCACTCTTTATTTTGCAAGTTTCTATTAATGATTAAGCAGAGACATTGACTGTTTTCATCAATAAATCCAAAGTGTAATCAACTATTGATTATTTAAGGAGTTATAACCTATTTTGTGTATTAGACAAGCTAGCTACTTCTTTTTTCTCTCTTGGTCCCTTGGTTTTAGGCCAACACACAGCCTATGAATATTAAGGCCAAAGAGTGGTTAGAGGAAGAACAGGAGTTCAAGCCACATGAGTTTATTCTGCTGTAGTATAGCACACCTAATTAAAGATTTGTCAAAGACATTAAACTGTAAGCTAAAATATAGACTTCATTTATCCATGATTTCTCCAAAATTACATTAACACCACTAATTAAGGGTTAACTACAATATGTAGTATTTACTCATGTAATTTCCTCCTTGTTCCTTGACATTTTCACTGCAAAATACGAAGGAGAAGGGTAAAAAGAGTAAAGGAAAAGGATATTAATGAAAGCATCTTGGTTCTTAACATTACTGCTGACAAAACCTCATTCATCTTTAAGATTTTTTCATTCCCATTTACTAATGAATAGTAACATTCATAATTACATCATCACAAGTTGTTGCAAAGTTAACTGCAGTCTATATCAAATACTTATTCAAGCGATCAAAGGGTTTTGATTACATTTGAAGATTTTCTTTTAAGTTTTAGTTAGAGGTTTTGACACATTTGGGCCAAGGGAAGGATGACCAGGAAGCGTCTTAAGCCCTAGTTCACTGCTTATGACTTTCAGCAGAGGTAAAAGCGCACTTACAAGATCAGAAGCCCTACCCTCCCAGGATCCCAGCCTAGGGAAGTTAGATAGGGAAATACAGATAAAGGTGGTGAGGAAGGAAGGGCAGAGAGGCAGGGGCAGGGGCAGGAGCAGAGGCAGAGGAATAGTACCAACTAGTATTGAATAGCTGACTGCTTTAACTTATCTGTCCTGGCAAGGATAAAGAACATGTACCTTAGAGAAGTTTCTGCTGGCAGCTATTTAAGAGTAGAAAAAAAATGTAAAATGAAGGAGAATTACCTGGGGAAAATAATCTCTTCTCAAAATGTAGTAGTAAAAAAACATAAAGAGAAAATACATGAGTAAATACTATAGCTTAAAATAGTACACTCAGAGAAACACAAGGACATCGGCCTTTTATGTAAGAACAATAGTTTTACATAGTTCTATTAACTATTGTATACTTTAAAAATGCTTTAATTTTTCTTTTCTGGCATTAATAGTTAAACATTACGATAAAGCTAATTTATTCAAGTCACCATAAAAAATTAAAAGTCTTGTCAACTCATAACTAATATTTTGAATTTCAGATTTATTTCCCAAATGATTGGAAATAGAAAACATGAAACAGATTAGTTGATGATTGTACCATTTCATTTTTATTGGGTAGGTCTAAATGATAGGATTGAAGTCCCCACCACTGACAGTTCCACAAGTATAAAAAGTATTAGGATTAAAAAAATTAAAAAAAAAAGATTTTCACTCACTGGGTGGTCTGTTTGCTGCCAAGTTTTTGAAGTGGCTGCCTTTTATCACTTCTGCTGATAATCTGCCAGTTGTGGCATTATAAAGCAGGCCAATGAGGATTTCTGGAGTTGAGCCATGTTCTAGAGACTGACAAGAGGATGTGCTTTCACTACAGGACATTTCTGACATGCTCATCTGGGAACCACAGCCCTGGAATCATAAAGAAAACTTTTAGAAGGATTTTGTGGAAAACACATATTAAGGGATGCATTGTTAGTACTGGACTTGCTGGAATTATATCAGTCACTCTCAAGAACAGGCATTATAGACAACTATCATATCACCTGTCTAGAAAAGAGGTTACCCACATATTATTGTTTATGGTGGTCTTTTGGTTATACAAAAGCTGGAAGAAGTAAAAAGGAGATAATAAAAGATTCATTAAATTCTCTCTCACACTCACACACATACACACACACACACACACAAAGTGCCTTGCATATAGTAGGTAATCAGTGCTTATTAACTGACTAAATGACTGAAATCAGAGTCTAAATTTACAGGATGATTCCTTTGCATCCTGGGTGCTATACTTATAGACAATAAAATGCTGTGATTATATATTTTTACATATTCTCTGAGTTATGAACTTATTAATATGCAAAGTTTCGTTGAGATAAAACATAACACTCAAGCACTCATTGACTCTGAGGCAGCACGTTTAAAAGAGCGTATCATGAGAAGAAAATCTCTCTTAGAATCTTGCACTTTAATTTGATTTTTGAAGGTCTCTGATGAAGTAAATTCAACCAAATTATAATAGGCTTTTCTATTATTTATCTTTATCTTCTCATGAATGAAAAATATCAAAAGCTTTATGCCAATCTTCTGAAGCTAAAGAACGAAGAGTTATAAAGAATATATTTCTAAGTTGACATCTATTGTTACTTATACTTGTATACCAAATAACACCTGATTGATAAGTGAACTGATCCCCGGATTCATTTTAACAAAAATGTAAATATATGTTCTTCAACCTTAACTCTTAACCATAGACCAGAAAACCAAAAAGTTTACTATGAATTTCACCAAGCAATGTGCAAAATATTGTACATTTTATATTCCCATACCACTGGCCAACAGGAGATACTTTTGTCACTTTGGCTTGATATGATGCATTTATGAATGTCAAAAAAAAATGGGGGAGAGATCAATTAGCATATTTCATCACATATATTTTGGACTCAAATGTATGTTCTTATACATTTTATGTTTCCTATGCTAAGTAGCATCTGTTAGAATATTATGAAATCGATTTTTCACAACATAGTGCTTCCAATTTAAAGTTTATTAACCTGGAGTCAGATAATAAAAAAAAATAATTATTTACATTTAATAGGTCTTTCTAGTTTATAGAGAACTTTCCTTAAACCTGGAAACACTTGCATGAACTGATGCTGAGTGAAATGAGCAGAATCAGAACATTGTACACAGTAACAACAACATTGTGCAACGACCGACTTTGTTAGACTAACCTCTTCTCAGCAATGCAACAATCTAAGACAATTCCAAAAGACTCATGATGGAAAATGCTATCCACATCCAGAGAAAAAACCATGGTGTCTGAATGCAGATCTAAATATAATATTCTCTCTTTTTTTTTCCTCATGGTTTTCCCCTTTTGTTCTGATTCTTCTTTCCCAACATGACTAATGTGGATATACGTTTAATGTGATCATACATGTATAGCTTATAACAGATTTCATCCTGTATTGGGGAGGGGTGAATAGAGGAGGAAGGGAAATTTAGAACCCAAAATCTTATAAAAGCAAATGTTGAAAACTAAAAATAAATTAGTTAAAAAAACAACTTTCCTCCCAATTGTGAGTCACAATTATTATCATTATCATTTTACAGATGAGGAAACTGAGTCTCAGAGGGGATGAATAATAACTAGTAAGTAGAACAGGTCACTAGTAAGTGACCAGGTTTTCTGACTCCTATGGAATGTTTTCCAGAGTGTTCTCAATGTTTTTACGTTAACACCCTGTTTTTTTAGCAATATGTTGATCTTTGAAGAGGGTTATATGAAAGGCTTTGGGAATTCAAAAGAAAGATGGCTCATTCTTGTTCCCACTTGACTAGCGAACGGGGAAATTTCACTTCTTTTCTTTCCACTGTCCGTCTCCAAAACTAGTAGCTCTAAGGTCCTGTGGGATCTCAAGCTCCTCAGAAGTCTAGTAGGATTTGTGAAAATGAATGGTTAAAAAGTGTCATTCTAACAGGTTTCATTCTGTTTCAGCCATAGGGAAAACAAACAAACAAAAAAGAATTAAACTGGATCACCTGACTTTTCCAGAACAGTCAAAGTAACTATCACCCATGACTGGCACACTGGTAGAAATCTCATCGACTACAACAAAAGCTACATAGAAATAGCTATAGAAATAGAATGATTGTAGTAAAAACAAATTAAATATGGATACTGTATACTCAAGTGGTTTCTCTCCTCAGAATATTCCTCAGGGCATGCTGCTCAATTCAGTATATATCCAGAGATCTCCACCCACTCTCTCTGCAGCTCCCATCATTAATTTATAACTGGGGCTTGCCTAGGTAGCAGTAGCTGTTGGTGATTAACTCACCGTCAAACAAATTTCAGTCATTACTAGGACTACTTAAAGGAACAGTCCTAAAGGCAAATAATAGTAAAAGTATTACTTCTTCCTATGCCTACTCAACATAGTACCCTATTCCTTTCTAGCACTTTCCCTCAAGGGTGAAGGGTTATAAGACATTCTATGAAGGTAGAAAAAAAAAGTCTTTTTTTTTCTTCAGGGAAAAGGCAAAGAATAATAAACTGCCTATATTGTCTCACCACATTAGAATTAATTATGCTCATCATATTTCTTTAACTGATGCCAATATGTCAAAAATAAATGAGAAGTTTAAAAATATAGTAACAAAACCATGAATTACACATGAATTAAAAACTGGCTTAAACAAAAGGTGCAATAAAACTTTTTTTTAAGTCAAGTATAGATCCTGAACTGTTACTTTTGCTTTTACATTATAAACAGCAATTGATTTCAATTTGCCTATAAACCACTCATATTTAACAGTTCCTTTGTGAGGAAGTTAAATGTATACTGGCAATTATTGCAAATTTTAAGATTTCAACATTAAGTGAGTTTATTTTCACTATTTCTAAAAGGTTATCTAAAAGATACCTTTTAGATACACATAACCTGTCCCTTTTTTTTTTTTTTCTGAGAATGAGGTGGGGTGGAGGGGATGGCAAATAATGATGAAGTATGAAAAAGGAGGATAATTCCCATTCCCATGCCAAAGCTGCCACCTTGAGTGAGCTTTACTTCCTGGAATGGTGCCTCTTCCTCAGGGCCTTCTCCATGCCCCAGGGAAGTGAACATTTGGAAGCTTGGCATGGTGAAGATAGCTGGAGGCAACGGCTGTAGGAATCTTAGCAGCAGGAGCAGACAATAGCTGCAGCCCCAGAGAAACCCAGCATGAGGTCTGGCTATTTAGTCTCCTAGTGAGGTAAAAGCACTGAAAACCCCAGGGGAAGAAAACTCTCCAGAGGGCTGGGCCTTGCTCTAGTTAAGGCCTGAATAAGCAACTTGACTTCGACTTAGGCAAGAGCTGTGGACAGCAGCTGGCTCCTTTGGTCTGTGCTCTCTTCCCCTTGGCTTTGGACAAAACTTTCCATCTTAAACCACACAACTTTGTGGCCTGGGCTGGAGTTCACTCGCACTAACTGCACTGGAGCGCAGCTTCCCTGTGTTGGATATAAAGGTGCAAGGTAGCCTCCTTGGGATATGAAAGGAAAAGGGACTTTGGTGGAAGGGTAATCAAAGAGAACCTTAGAGACAGGTGGTAGCTATGAAACCCATTTCTTTATTATTATTATTATCATCTCTGTGACTCTGTGTGAATAACTTCACCTGTGAGGCCTCATTTTCCTCATACATAAAATTAGGAATCTGTACTAGCCAACCTCAAACGTCTCTTCCAGCTCTATACCTATAATCCATGATCCCACCTTACAAATCGAGTTAATAGAGGAGAGACATGTATTGTGGGAAAACTACAGTTGTTTTTCAGCTCAGCACATTAACGTGGACAATTTTAACAGGTCTGATTGTTTTTAAAATTAATTTATTTTTAGTTTTCAACATTCACTTCCATAAGACTTTGAGTTCTAAATCTTCTTTCCTTTCTTCTCCTCCCCCTCCCCAAGACAGTATGCAATGTGATATAGGCTCTACATATACATTCATATTATATATATTTTCATATTAGTCATGTTGTAAAGAAGAATCAGGACCAATGGGTGGAACCATGAGAAAGAAGAAACAAATAAAAGAGAGAGCGCGAGCAAATAGTGTGCTCTGATCTGCATTCAGACTCCATAGTTCTTTCTCTGGATGTGGGTAGCATTTTCCGTCATGAGTCTTTTAGAGCTGTCTCAGATCCTTGCATTGCGGAGAAGAGTTAAGTCTATCAAAGTCAGTGATCACACAATCTTTCTGTTACTGTGTACAATGTTCTCCTGGTTCTGCTCACTTCACTCAGCATCAGTTCACGTAAGTCTTTCCAGGTTTTTCCGAAGTCCACCTGCTCATCATTTCTTATGGAACAATAGTATTCCATTACATTCATATACCACAACTCGCTCAGCCATTCCCCAATTAATGGGTATCCCCTCAATTTCCAATTCTTGGCCACCACAAAAATAGCTGCTATAAATATTTTTGTACATGTGGGTCCTTTTCTCATTTTTATGATCTCTTTGGGACACAGACCTAGAAGTGGTATTGCCGGGTCAAAGGGTATGCACAGTTTTATAGCCCTTTGGGCACAGTTACAAATTACTCTCCAGAATGGTTGGATCATTTCACAACTCCACCAACAATGCATTAGTGTTGCAATTTTCCCACATTTCCAACATTTATCATTTTCCTGTTTTGTCATATTAGCCAATCTAATAGGTGTGATGTGGTACCTCAGAGTTGTTTTGATTTGCATTTCTCTAATCAATAGTGATCTAGAGCATTTTTTTTCATATGACTATAGATAGCTTTAATTTCTTCATTTGAAAATTGAACAGGTCTGATTTAACACTATAGACTGAGGGAAGATATGCATTACATAGTGTCAACAGTAACATGTAAAGGAGTAGTTGGCCTTAT